TTGTATGTTTGTCACTTAAATGAGATACAAAAAATAAAATAACATAGCAAGCTTAGTAGCTGTGTAATGGTGCAAACAGAGGTGACTGGAAACAGTAGATTGCACCAAAACTGACTGCAACTCTACTTGTAGATTCTCTTCCTAGCCATACAATCAGACGACCCGAGAAATAAGAAATCTGTCATCTACCACTGCTTCCGAAGGGCCTTGAGGATGCATTTCTTGTGAGCTCATCAAAACACTCTTTGAAAAGAGCAAAAGAGCCTCAGAAGGAGAAAAGGGAGGCAAAGGCATAACTAATCCTTTAGAGTGCTGTAGCTCTTGGGAGTTGGTCAGATCTGCCGTTCCCTTTGCATTAATATATTTTCCTGAAGATTAGGATGGTAGAATTGGACTTTGCAAAGGAGAAACAAAAATCAGAATGGCCACTTCTAGCAGGGAAGGTGGCTGGAGTGAAAACTGTTTATAAATTCTGAAATAATTATCAATATAGAAAATGCAAGAGGGAGCTTTACACATGGCTTGTGGAGTATGCCAGGATTTCCTCACCCTGAGCTGCAAAAGGGGTTCTGCCGTTCATGTGCAAGGACTGTTTCTTCTTGATTGTGAGCCAAGGATGGGAGAAGTAGGTGAAGGGAGGGGTGGGAAGGAGTGTCAGCAGGGTTAGTGTCAGCGAGAGGTTCAGCTATACATACCACCCAGATGCAAGTCGATGAGGTCACTGTAATAAGACTCTCCCCAATAGTCTATAACAAGGAATCGGTGAAGACAGAGTTATTGAGTCAGATACCCACCCTAGCCCCACACAATCAAAGCAATCTATGAGAAAAAAAGACATACAGGCAGACAGAAACAAAAAAGACAGAACAACAAGAAACATGCATCTATGTACGTTTGCACATATATATAATACATATAAAATTATGTCTTTGTTTATACACATATATGTACACACGCACATATATATATCACAAAAATATATTGGGAAGATGAGGAGAAAATTCCCAGCAGGCAGGCATGGATATCCATGGAGAAAAATCAAGAAGTTTACACAGACACTTCACTCTCTCAGTCTGCACCAGCACTCGATGCTGATGTCTTTCCTGTTCCTGCTGAGGAAAGCAGAGCTATTTTTGTTGTTTTCATACTTTGTTGTTTAGGTCAGCTGCAAGAAAGCTACAAAGATTGACTTCTTGGAGGTGAATGTGTGGAGGATGTGTATGTAGAGAACACAAGTGAAAGGCACTGACTGAGTGCTGACACAAATGGCAAATGCAGAAGTGTGGCAAAAAGGGTTTCTGCTAATGCAGTACCTATGTGAGAGAAGAACATAAGAGGGTGTGAAACAGAGACAAGCCTGTCCACAGCTGCTAGAGTCAGGTACACCGTGAGTCTAGCACTGTATAATTATTCTTTGGGGAAGAGACATGGGAGTACCGAGAGCACTGTTTCTCACTGCATATGATTCACTTGATGTCAAGAGGTTGCTCTTAAATTTTTCAGTATCAAACTGTCAGTACAAGACATCTTAAAAATGACTATCAAAGTTTGTGCTAAAGGAGAACAAGGGAGAAGAAGAAAAAGGTTCAAGAAATTTCCAAGTTGATATATTTTTCAAGGTAATAATTGAAAAGTCGTAATAATGTCCAGACAGGCGAATGCACTATAATACAAAGCAGTGTTACTTTAATAGTGAGCCCACTCCAGCTGTCTCCTGAGATGCTGCAGAAAAATGGGATAATTTTTTCCTGAGATTATCTTACTTTACCTTGGCAGTGAAATGCCATGATGCAAAAGAAAATTAAAAACAAAAAGGGAAAAAAAAAAACCAAAACCAGATGACAAAAGCTTGGCCCACCTTGTATATGACAAACTTGCCACCTTAAATAGAGCTTCCATTTCAGATCATTCATTCTTACTACAAAAGCGACTGCCAAAGGGTGAGATCTTCAAAGATATTAGGAGAGAACAATTAAGGCAACTGAGTAATCATATGGTGTGAGACTATTTTCTGAATCAGAAACGAAATGTTAGGTTGAGCATTCACAGCTTTTTAAAGAACAGGAGGCCAGCTGCACATTCCCTGAGGCTGAGCCAATTTAAAAAAGAAAAAAAGAAGTTATAGAGAAAGGTGCAATTACTTTGTCAAAATTAAAGTCGACAGTGACCTGCTAGCATCATCATACAGAATATTTCAGCCTGACAACAATCAGATAAGGACTGTCACTTTTGGAAACAGTAACGAACTGTTTGCCCTATTGCTAGGATCTAAACTGTAAACTCATAGGACATTGCTGTGACTGTTCTGCTCAGTATAAACCACCTACTAAGGCTGAAACAAAATGGATGGAAAATAAAAGCAAAATTATTCTAAGCAAACAAATCCTTACCCAGACTATCTTTTTTTGTTCTCACCGGTCTTACTGAAAGATACATTCCTATAAAGGTGGGAAAAGGTCAAGAGGTCAGAGACATGAACAATTAAGTTAATGAAAGACCTCTACGCAAAGAAAAATTGAAAGATGACTAACAGGGAACATGTTGAAAGATGATAAGAGACTTTGGAAAGTAACTCAGACGGCCTTGTCTGTCTCTTTCTACAAAAGAAAAAGAATCATTACGAAATACAAAATTGTTTCTTCAGTCAGGATTTTCAAATATCTAGGACTAGGAAACTACTATTAATACTTCCAAAACTTCCTGTTTAAATGTTTAGTCAGTGAGTGACTTGTTATCTCCCTACAGGGAGGGATGCTGAATAACCCACTCATTACAGAGCCCAATATCATCTCCAAGTTAACACTGGTGGCCCTCTAAAGGACAGGAATTACTTTGACCCTGTCTTGCAATCCTTCTCTTTTATGAGGATGGAGTATGTGTAGAAGGGGCATACTTCCCACCCTCCCCTTTCTTCCACTTGTACAAGTGTATTAAAAGGATCGTTTTTTCCCAGATGATGACAACATTGACCTTCCTGTTTTGTTTAGCTTTTGTTTACGCGGTTTCATTAAGAAAAACTTATCAGAGGTAGGGGTATAGAACCACATCTTCACACATCAGTACTGCTGAATGCAGCGGTCACTGTTAGGTCAATACCCAGGCAATGCAGTTGAGAAGAAAACTATTCTGCCCTCCAGAATAATTAATGGTATTGGAGGCAGAAATTAATTACACTTACAGGATGTGATGTCACATACTTTAAACAATAAAAAAATTTCTGCTATTTTATTGCAAACTTACGTGAAATACGTAAGCAAGAGTGGTAAAGGATGAAGTTTATTTTTAATCTTCAGTTAAAAAAGGCTATGCTTTATATATACATATATATATAATTATTTTTTTCCCCATCAAAATGTGTTTCTTGTTAATCCCAGGATATAACTGGAGAATTGGAGCTTGTGAATTCTTTAAGATGGAGTTAAGCCTCTGTAATCAAGAGAAAAGCACACCTTACAGGCTTCCTGAAGAAAAGAGGTTCATTTCACAAAGAATGACCTACAATTTCATAATTTCGCTAGGAAATCCACAAATAGAGAAGCTCATCTAAGACTGCTTCCATTTTGGGAGAGCTGAGAGTAAGGTATAATGCAAAGATTTAAGTCTGCAGCCTTCCATACAAAATACCAACTCTTATTCTTGGTCTGAACATTTTTTTTGGCATTTTGAAGGATGTTCTCTCAGCTGGTAAGATTTCCAACTTGTGCTGATATGTCTTATATGAATGTCATTTAGCAGCTGACTACTCAAGACAGACTTCCAGACGTAGAAGAAAAAGAGGAATCAGAAATAAGAAGAGGTGTTAATAAGCACAGTAACTGGCAGGCCAGCAAATAGAGTGGGACTACACAGAAATACACTGCATAAGGAGGGTGGCACTACCACAGAGAAAGGGTTTTTACACAAGGATACTTCTTGAACCCACATATTAAAAACCCAGTCAGATCACAATACCACTCCAGTCATTAAGACTGTTTTCCACACTTGTAGAACTTACTTGCTATGGTAACTATACAGACTGCTGCTTCAGTGTGCCTTCATGAAGCAGCAAACACAACTAAACTTGGTGAAGTAATTGGAAAGGAATCTCAACAGACTTTTCCTCTGGTGAACCTTCGCTGCTTAATCTTATACCATCTTCACAGGCATAGTGGTCACTCTTAAGTCCAAGCAACAAGCCGAATCATTCTTCCAATCTGTTCCACTGTTACCATTACTGATCTCTGGTCTTTGTAATCAGGTACATAATCCTGGGCATAATCCTATTAGATACATGCACACTGCATTTGCCTGCTGGATATTTGACTCCATGCAATTAAAGGACTCTTTTTTTCTTTCCAGATCATTACACTACTATTAGCATTACCTCAACCAAGTACTCCTCCACTCATGTTTTGCCAGATCAGGTGAAACTCATTTAGTTTAATTACAAATACAGATCACATTCATTTAACAGCTTGACATGGATACCTTTCATGTTTGCATTTCTGCTCTGCACAACTTTGTCTGAAGCAACCAGTGTGCTGGGCTGTGCAGTGAGGAAGATGTTCTGTGATGGTCCCTTGTAAGGACACTACCTTAATAATCCAACACAATAGAGAAAGCACACACAAATTCAGTTATTTTCTTCATGTAGAAATGGGGTTCTTTTACTGTGAAAGCTGTGAATTGCAGCTAGGAACCCCCCGCAATTTTCTAGCTGTAAAATCCAATAATATGTAAAAAACAGTCAGACACCCATTATTAATAACTGGAGGATTACTTCCTGAGTCTCTGGCAAAGACGAGCAAACTAAGTCTCTGCCATTAGAAAGATCCAAGGATTAGAGGAAATACAAGAACAACAAGGCCTCAGAAAGAGAAGAAAAGGGGGAATGGATCCATATTGGACTCTAATTCTAGGCTACAATGGTCCAAATGCCTCTAAAATCCAAGCACTGATGGACTACTGTACAAGCACTTGATAAAAAAACATTAAAAAGCAAACCAAGCTCTGCTGGATACCTGCTTCTCCTCGAAGGGCCTTCTCCACAGCAACCCCTCTCTCCTCTAGCTGTCTCTGCTTCTCTTCCACTTGTTCAAGCTGCCGCTGGATGATCTGTCGAGAAAAGAAATGAGCTTATCAATAGCAATTCTCCTGTTCTGTTTGCAGCACATATCCAGCACCAATTCGAGTTCAGTCAAATTAGCTGTTTGAAAACCAAGTATTTGCATCCAACAACACAATGGCTTGAAAGCTAGCATACGGTCCCCTCCAGTGAGGACACCCCCATCTCTGCATCCTAGCATCTCGTTTTACAGACACCTGGATACTCACTTATTTGTTACAACTGAAATCCCCCTCCTAAATACTAAGTGAAAGATGTTGCCATTCGGTCAGCTGATCCCCTTCCTCGAGTTTTAAACAAAACCCATCTCCTATAAACAGTGCCAGTAGATTCTCTTGTGAGTTGAAGTTCAGTTGGTAACACTTCACCCACCAGCATAATCTAGGAAAGCAGTCACTGATATTATTAACTACAGCTCTTTCATTCAGTGAATGGTACCATATTCATCTCCAGGTAGGAAGGTGTTTTGCTCTCATTTGTCATTTTTCTTGCTGTTAAACTACCTTGACAGGTTACAATTTCTTCCCATTTCTGAGAGATTGTACCAAATTTGACAGAGGAAGTAGGAGCAGAAACAGCCACGTAGAACTAGAGAGAATTCCGGCTCTGGAACCTCTTCTGACACACCCAGTGGAATGTCAGGATCATGGTGCCTTGGTTTCCTGCCATTACAAGAAGACTGTGAGACACTACCTGAGCTCTATGTAACCTCTTGAGCTCTTCTTGCTTGGCTTGTCTGCGGGCAGCTTTCTGTACTCGTCGGGTCAGCTTAGCATTCAGTTCCTCTTCTGTGTAGGCTCTCTGGAGGAGAGGAAGGAAAAACAGCAGACTTTATTTCCATGCCCAGAGCTAATGGGGGAGGGAAAATGATTTTCTTTTCCAAAACCGCAGAAGGGAGGTGTTCTGTCTTTGTCATAGCTGTGTCAAAAGTCAAGCTTCTGTAGGCAAAGGTGTTCACAGTGCAGTGAGCAACAATTTCAGGGTCAAATCAGGAGTGAAGAAGCACATAAGCCAATTGCAAAGCTGTGATTTTATATGATGTCCCATTTCAGTCTTCCATTGCTATGTGGAATCTCTCCGCAATGATCAAATCCATTTTAACCTATTTCTCAATAGATTTAACCAAGTGGACTTAATTAAGTCAATGAATACCTTATAAGGGGGTCACCTTGATTTCATTTTAGAAGATAAAGACATTCAGTATATGAACAGTTACAGCAGAATAAATTAAGAGATTAATATAGACAGGTGTAGTTATATTGGTATTCTGCTCTATTCATAGAAATCATTTTATTCTGGATATAAAATATTTGTACTTGGGAGTTATACTGATATAACTGATAATGACTACCTGTGTACATTTGTGCAATTTTTCTCTGAATCAAGAAGGCGAAAAGACATTTGAAAGCAGAATGGTGTTCTGGTGTGAGAGGGTAAATCCCATCTCAAGAACAATGCCACAAAACTGTCTGGTATACAACAGAGCAACCAGCACCTTAACTAAAACCGGAATATTACAGCACCAGAAGTAATCCAAACTGAGAAAGGATACATTTATAGAGACAGAAGGATACCCCTCATTTTCTCCCAAGTGAACTGGTTTTAAAAATATCTAAGTCTAAATTTTTGATTGTGCTGAAATGGAGTATCTTTTCAGGTATACTAGTCGGTTTGTTGTAATCTAGGTGTGTTTCCTCTCATCACCTTTAAAGCATCAAAGAAACTTCACAATTGCATTAAATGAACTACAGGTAAGAGAAGAAATCTCTTCCTACATACATGTATGTAGCCTTTATGAGATAGTTGGACACAGATGTCTTCCACTTCTGGAAATATCTTCCACACTGATAGTTAAGTTTAAGGACAAAACATTAATACAGGCCACCATGAAATTTCCTTTATCTAGTTATTGTACTGCCGTGCTGATCACACTATCTCTGTTTTATTGTTCTCAGTGAGCAGAGGTTTATATGGTTGACCCATAGCTCTACTAAAAACTCCTCAGGTGATCAGCAGGCACCATTATTAAAGCTCCAAGAAGTCAATATTTTGCTAAAAAGTTAGAGAAGCATGACTTTCCTATCCTACTTAATGCTGTTGTGACTGTCAATAAGGCCAATAATGACTTCAGAAAGCAGCAACATTTCTAAAACAGAAATGCAACTTCTATCTTGATTTTAGCTTGATATAGAATTTCACTGAGATTCCAATGAACCCAAAGACTTTGAACAATAATTTTGAAAGGAGGAGTGACAATCCACTTCTATGCTCTAAGTATATAAAAAAATAATACACATATATATTTAACTCCCTACCAACCCCATTTGTTCTGAAGCTCAAAGATCATCCACATTATTCTGTACTGAGGTGCACTGCTGGGCACTGATAGTTGCATGCATTCTAACACGTCAGACAATTTGGAGACCAATGCATTTTTGGTAGACAACCTCTACACAGATTTTGCTGCCCATGTCTGCTAACATCTCACGCATGCACAGTCAATGTTTGTGATGTTAGTGCACATGTGATGGGTAGCTACGTATTCAATGGGTTAATATAGGGATATACATGCAACAATGGCCAACTACTGGGAATGGAGACACTACCTTTGACGAATATGATCTCTTGAATGCCAAGGCGTGTGGTACATAAATCGACTTTAAAGGGGGAATGGTAAAGGAAAAAAATAAAAAACATACAAAATGAAGCAAAATCAGTTCAACATTGAAAACAGATGCATAGTAAAAAAATAAAGCTGTTTTTAAATGCAACACAGAATTGTGCAAATGCTGAACATGGCCCAGTCTGATTAAGCACAACAAAAGCGTTGTGCACAAAATCAAGTTTCTAGCACTCTCCTGAAGGCAATTAGCTTTGGCAGCCTCTTTCAAGATACAACCAACTTGGAAATACTTTTTTTCTAGAGGAATTCTTTGGCCTTTATCCACCTATGGATTTAATATCCACTCAGGCAGTAAGTATACATACACATACAAAATTTTGGCTTACAATATGGAATAATGTCTTGTTTGCTGGGGCATGTTTGGATCTGAACTTGCTAAGCCAATCACATATTACTCTGTCACACAGCTCTCCATTTATACACTGTTTTACAACTTTTCATGGAGGCTGTGTCTACTGCATGGTTTTAAATAATTTCTACTCCATCAAAATAATCATTTGCATTTAAATAATGACATAATCTTCCCTGCTGCTTTGTGACTGGAGAAACACCGGATAGGCTCAGAGTGAGCTACATGTCATCTCCCTGCTTAAAAAGAGAACCTGCAGAGAGCCTGAGGAGCTAAAGTTAGAGAGAAGAAAAAAAAAAATGAAATGTTCATGAGAGGGAAGGGAAGGGAAGGGAAGGGAAGGGAAGGGAAGGGAAGGGAAGGGAAGGGAAGGGAAGGGAACGAGAGAGAGGGGACGAGAGAGAGAAAACCATTGCCTCCCCCCCCTCCCAAGAATACTCTAGGTTAAAGTGTACCTGAAAATAAGGCAAGTAAACTACCTAGAGTCTTTAAGAGATGGAAATTTGTTTTGTGTCAGGAAGTACAGAGGGCATTATGCCATTCTGGGCAAACAGTCAGCATTTTGCATTTTCACATTTAATTAACTAAAAACAATCACAAATGAAAAGCCATAGAACAACTTAAGCACGTAAGCAAACATCAGTAAAAAGCAAACTACCTGTGAGTAAAACACGTCTGATCACAACACCACAACTGTAGAGGAACAGTGACAAACACGCACAATGACACACCCATACACAAGGAACCCACAGGGTATTCACAAGTAGGAATTCTTTACAAGATGCTTCTCTTCAAAGACATTACACTGAACAACACGGAAGAAATTTGCTGCTGATCACAAAGAACAGGCTACACAGAGCAAACCATCTAGGAAGCAAACTCACTACAGTTACTGAAAAAGCAGCACAAGTAAAATTTCAGTTTAGAGAAGGGGTTCACATAAAAGTTATGTGCCATATAGGAAGTAAACTTTTACCCATAGTAAGTAGCTTGTAATTTAAAACACATAACATTTCCACCCCAAATAGTACAAACCCAGTTTCGTCAGTCCCAAAGTTCAGTTACATTTCTTTTGACAGCAACACATTCCATGTTTGCATCTATGTTTTACATCCTTGGACAGGATGCAATAAAATTAGGTAAGTGGAGTTCTCTGATTTGTTTCCTCTAAACAAATCCATTCTCAAAAACTATTCCTTTGGAAAACAGGCAGATGATGAGCCAAATAAATTCTTAATATAAGCTCAGCAACAGCAAACAGGAGAAAATGAGATGTTACCACGATACCTTTGGCAAAACTGGTGAGATATTTTGAGTATTAGGATTTCAGCCATCTGCCACTGTCACCTATCCCCACAAAGCTTAGTGACCATATCTTTTTCTGCTAATGTCATTTTAAATGAAAGTAGTTCAGCATAGAAAAGACAAACATATAAAAAAAAAAACAAAAACAACCATGGGCCATCAAGGCATACTCAAGTCTGAAAATAAGCATGGACCTTATTTAAGGTCTGCTTCCTCCTGAAGGAGCACACAAGGTAGAACGGTAACTCCGTAACTCTTATCTGAACCCCTGTATTGCATATCTGTCCTCTGCTAACCACAGGTACCTCGTTCTTCTGCATCTCTTGGAAAATGCAGAATTTCTCATGAAACACCTTGAGGGCATGCAAGAAGGAATGAAAGGGGAAAAGAAAAAAACGAATAAAATAAAAAGAAAATAATCTTCCTCTCAGAAGAGATCTACATCAACTAGGAAGAGAAACTGAAAGAGAGGTAAGTAAATGCAAAGAAATTCTTACTTTTCATCAAGTCCTTCTACCAGCCTTATATATACAAAGAAATGCAGGACTAGATCAAAGGTTTGAGACAGGAGGTACAGTCCACTGGTCTGGGACACTACCCTCTGAGATAATCTCATCTTGAGTTATTTAATATATGGACCAGGCTCCATTGAGAAAGGACAGGAAGAATTCATTTTTCATTCTTTAGTACCAGGAAGGCCAATGGAATGTCTATTTATTCTTTATACCTTGCGATGTCCATCTTTGCCAATAACAATGAAAGAAGCAGAGCATATCCTTACATTTTCCACCAGCAGTGGAACAGTGCCATCCAAAATTGAAATAAGTAACTTAAAAGGATCTACCTTTGGCACTTGGTTCTCACCACTGCAAATAAACTAAAAGTATTTTTCTTTCTGGGATTCACAAAGGTGTGCTGGTATCTAGTCTGTTTTACTCAATAACTTCATTGAAGTACCAGTTAAAGTGAAACTATTTTAGATGTTGATATGTCTTACACCATTGTACTATTGCATTAGCTTGGGGAAGTTTGCTCAGGAACAAGAAGTTTCCCAGAAGAAGCAGAGTTCACACCAGACTAGAATGGAATGAAAATACCATGCTAAGGCTAACCACTATAGACTGGGATTTCAAAAGGGATCACTATGTATCTTGTCTTTCCATTTGTTTTCTTTATAACAGACACAAAGAAATACTCAGCAACTACCAAGAAGTCCTCAAACAAAACAAGGTCAAAGTAGGAGAGACAACTGATGACTCATCTCTCCTTCAAGAATAAGAAGGTACATTACTGTTTGCCTAGGAAAAATATGTAGACCTGCACGAGTCACAAACTGCAAACTACAGCTTACCTTTCAGTTGACAATCTGTCTTGACTGTGCTCTTGAGGCATAAAAAAGTATACTGCTGCCTGTAGTTTGCTTGGAATGCTACCTCATCAATCTATCAAAAAGGCTGGTGAAACAAAGTGCTACAGTCGGACCCTTACAACAGGTGAGGACTACCTTTTTGCAATAACATAAGAGTAAGCGAAATTTAGTCTTCTGACATTAGACTGTTGTTTTCTGTAGATTATTGGCATGATCACTACAGGGACAAGACTCGCTATTCAGACTGTGATATTTGGTTGTAAAATAACCTAAGTGAGATAACAGACGCTTCATATTATAACAGTAGGAAGTAGCTTGTAATTGTGAAGCAAGTGAAACAAATCCTTGGTAAGCTTCCGGGCCTGTTCCACAGAAGAAAAAGTAACAATGACAAAAAGCATCACCTAAGCTCCTGCCATGGGTCTGAGTCTCTGATCTGTATGATACAAGATTTGCCTACCTCTCGCTTGGATTTCTGGGAGGAGCGTTCCAGAACATCATCACTGGAGAGGTCAGAGTCCTCTGAAAAACTCAGGTGTCGACGGAGCTGCAAATCTGAGAAGACAGGAACAAGAAGGGGAAGTTAGAAAAATGGTAGCTACAAGAGTGCATTTCCCTCTGTAAGCACTTTGGATCTTAGTTGGCAAGCTGCCTGAACTTCAAAATTACAGTTGTTTATGCCAGTCTTAGCTGTGCTGCCAGGATTACATAGTCAGCACAGAAGCACTGTTCCACAAAATGATGGTCACTAGTTAAAAGCTTCAATCTGAGTGTGCATCACTTTCTGCAAAAAATACTAGAAGTCATGGTCACGATTCTTTTCTGCTGCATCAATGCTCTAGTGAAACATTCAGGACTTGGATGAGAGCAGCAAGCACCATTCTGGCTTTTTGTACAAGGCCAAAGAAATGTAACATCTTTGCTTTTGATCATGTTTACGGCTAACTTATTTACCATACCACAACCTGCCATTAAACATCCCTGTCTGTACCTAATGGCATATGAGAGATTTACATGAGGCTGCAGAATCTGCACGCTTAGGTGAGCAAAAATTGTCAGAACACTGAGAACACAGCAGTGACTGCATCTCTGCAGTCTTCTGTATCCACAGAACCAAGTTGAAAGAAACAGAAACAGAACATCCATGGAAAAGATGAGGATCAGATATAAAACAAAGATCTAACATCACAAACACCTGACTCCAGTAAATAGTGCTTATTTCTCAAATCAGCATAAGGCAGAACCTGGATGTGCCTTGTACATATTAAGAGTGAAGCTTCTATTTAAGGATCCTTTTACTTCCATAAATATGCAGACACAGAATTCCAGTTGCTGCTACTTATCCTGATCATTACCTCTAACAATGAGGAGAGCTGCCATTCAACACAATATCATGATGACAAATTTACTTTCAAGGACATGCAGCTGTATCACGTATCTATTGTACCTGCAGCTGTAATCAACGGAGATGCTTTGTGCTTGCCAGAGTCCACAGTAGCACTACTTGAGGGAGTACTTGGGCAGGATTTGTCATCAGCTTTCTTCTTCTTGTCTTTCTTATACCCAGAAAAAACAGACTTCCATAATGACCTGGACTTCGTTGCTTCCTCTGTCCCACCACTAGATTTGTCAGAAAGCCTGCTGTCATTTTTGGATTTCTTCTCCTTTTTGTTCTTACGAGGGGAGAAAAGAGAAGTTCTTTTCTTACTCTTCCCACTGGAGCCTTCTGAAGAGGTGACAGATCCTTCAGGTCCAGCCACATCAGCAGCAGGAGTGGAGAACTTCTCACTAGCAGCATCATGCTTTAGTGTGGACCCCTCTGCTATTTTCAATGCCAAGTGCTTTGGAGAGTCATGAAACAACTCTTTGGTCTTCAAAGGCATAGAAGATGCCTTTCGTGCCCTTGTGGCTCCAGCAGCTGCAGCTGCAGCCATCTCCATATCTTTCATCTTACATAACTGTTTAGCCATGGCATCACGTAGTGCTTGGCTCTTGACAGACTTTTCTCTGGCTCTCATCCTTTCTTCAGCAAGCTCCTTGGCCTCTGCAGAAATTTCAGGCAAAACTCTCTTCTTTTGGTTAATCCCTCCCTCCATAGGGGGTGGGCCACCATTTTCCTTGACCAAGGGCAAAACAAGTGGTTTCTCTGGCCGTGGCCTACTGGTAGGAGGTGTAAAGAACTTCTCATGAAGGCTTGAGTCCTCTGTCCTGTCATCATATGTGTCCTCCACATCATCAGCAAATGGAATCTCATCCACACTCTCTGCAAAAGACTTTCGCACATCATCTTTTTTGGCCTGCGTTGGTTCTTTGACAGCAGAGGTTGGCTCATGGCGTGGAGGAACGGGAGGTGTTGATGCTGGTGTTGGAGGTGACTTGGATTCAACTTCATTCTGCCAAAGTGCTTGATACCTTTTTCTACGCAAAGTAGCTGGTTCTTCATCTTGAGGAGGTGGTGGGGGGGGACTTGATGGAGGAGTAAGCATAGTAGAGTCAGAAGTGTTGAAGCTCTGGCTAGCCAAAGTTCTCATGTTAGATGAGCTTTCCTGAAGGCCAAGTCCCGAACTGCTGGATACATCTCTCTTAACTTCATGGGAACTCCTCAGTTCTTTTTCTGATGGAGATTTTGGAGTGAGCAGAGAAATTTGTTCATTTTCTAACTTGGACAGTCCTTGCCTTCTTGGAGCAGGCTGTGGCTTCACAAGATGCATCCTTTCATCCCCTGTGACACTCTCACTATTAAAAGTCTTCAGAGGAGTTGTCTCAAGGGCAGATACAGGAAAGCTTGATTCTGAACGTTTGTTTCTGTCTACTGGGGTGAGTCCTAAGCTCCTCCGGATTTCAGCACTCTTCATCCAGAACTCTTCTACAAGGTTACTACGTTTCAGAGCTTCTTCTGCAGTGGTAGGGCTCCCCAGTTTCTCCACCTCGCTATCCTGGTTCCCGAGGACCAGTTTAGCTAGAGGTGTAGAAGTTAAGGCTGGGCCAGGCTGGAAACAAACTGGAGGCTCCACTGGGGATGGAATGGATGTCTCGGCAGAAGGCAAAGGCTGTGAACAAATAGGCTTTTGAGAAGATGTTGGAGATGAAGCCAATTTTGGTGCTGCTGGCTGAGATTCTGCTGGAGATGTAGGTGCAGTAGTTTCTGGTGATGCAACCGGCTGAGATAACACCGGAGAAAGTGGCACAGAAGGGCTTTTAGCTTTTCTGTCTTTGGGAATTTCATCCTTTGGTCCTTCCTCGAGAAGGAAAAGCTCAGGGAAAAAGCGTGCCTCTGGAGATTTTATTGCAGCCAGGGGATCTTTTACATCCTAATAAATATAATATAATATAATAAAATATTAGTAGTCACTGGTCACATTAGAATGCTGCTACACTTTTACTGCTAAACCACCCAAGTATTAAAATTTGAAAAAAAAAAAGCACAAATCGTATCTCGCTCACAGGCCTTGAATGTTGCTTAGGATTCCTTCTCAGGTGCAGACATCCAATTGTATAAAACTGTTCTTTGTACACAACAGTAAGGCAAATTTTACTTTTGGAACAAAAAGAATGCTAAATTCCAGAAATCTATTTCTATCTTTTCCCACTCTCCCTTTCAATATCCAACTCTGCATATATTAGGAGTCCCTCATTTCAGACAGATTTCATTCAAGCCTCTCAAGCTCTGATCAACACAGCACTTTCTGCTGGCTTGCACTTACTGCAGCTGCAATATTTTTTTAAAGCAAGGTGTGCTTTAAGAGCAAATTAGGCAAACTGCTATATTACTCAGTAGTACAATTCTTTGTTTTAATATCTAAACTTTCAGCAAGGGACTTCTCTTACTGAGTTCTTATATTCCACTGGTATCTTTTGTATCAGCATTCTTCTAAAAGCAGGAAGTTTAGTTCAATTGTCACAAGACCACTAGAGAATGAACTGCTCTATCTGTGTGCTTCTATGCCATATTAAACACTCAGGTCTTTAAGTACTGATCTGGGCATTATCCCAGTGCAAAGTATAATTTTGTCTAACAGAATCATTGGATTGGTCTGAAAAAATAATCACCCTCCATTTTAATAGACAATGTTGTCAACAATTGCTGTCAGCAAACTAGCCTTATCCCATCATCTGTCCATCGTGCAAGTAAAATGGTTTATAACAAAACTCTCTAGGAAAGTCAAATCATTAAGCAATTCTTCACAAACACTGGAGATAAATGTTTGAAATAAACATCTTAAGGGTCATGGACTTTCTGTTCTTGCATCCTATTAGCTGGAAACACCACAGTAAGCTTGCATGCCGACTTCAGGGCTAACAGCACAACATTAAATAACTCAGCTTCATTCAGCTGAACTATATTGTTACCCTGGAAAAAGTAAGCACTTGGTTACTACGGAATAAGTACTACAAATAAGATTAGTACATAATCTGGTTTTGGTACAGAAAGGATACCCAAACCAGGACAAACAAGAAACAGCTCACTGATGACTCCCATTATGCATTATATGCAATATACTTCTTGTTAACTGCGCACTGAAATTAAAATAACCTCTTTAACTCTTTTTGCATTTTGTGATGGGAACTTGGGACTGTGACAGAGTCTCTACACTCTAAAAGTAGGAAAGAAAGACAGTACATTATTTTTAAAGTCTACATAAAGTGAAATTTCAAGAACACCAATTACAGAGACCGGAAAGAAGAAAAGAGCATGGCTGTCAGTTCTCAATAATTTGTCCAACAAACAGTTCTATTGAACTGTAGGTTCTAAGTAGAAAACTTGACCAATTCCCCTTCTTACCTCTGCTTGATCTGCTTTGAGACTATCAGCTGGAGACAGAGGAAGAACAATGTCATCAGTTGACTGGTTAGGAGCGGATGGCTTGCATGGATCTATAGAAAGCAAAAATATGTTTAAGAAAACAAATGAGACTGGTGTATTCTGAAAGTATAAAGTAGTGACAAATTCACTGGTGTCTTACAAATTCTAGGTTAGACATCTGGAATCTCACCAAAATTTTGTACATGTACAAAGCAGTAAGAAATTTTATATAAAAGATTCTACAAGAAGCAGCAATTAGATGGGCTCTCACTCTTTCTAAAGCTGTAATCAATGGACTTGTAACACTCTTTGCAAAAAACATTAATGCAATCACATACCTTGCCACTGAGAGCAGTGAGTTGGTTCAAATCCAAGAGATTTAAAATATTAAATAAATGTACAGACTATCCAGAAGGCAATTATAATCATTCAAACACTGGTGGGAAAGCTATTACCTTCTGTCACGCTGCAAGAAGCATCTTCTGCTCCTTCTTCATCTTCAGAAACTTTTAGTCCTGGCTCTTCTGCGCTACCTCGATGTAAGCGAAACTCGGCTTCTGCATCAGATGGGATGTCATCTGGTCATGAATAACACAGATTGGGCAGGAAGGGGTAAAATAGAAAAAAAAAAAAAAAGAAGACGACATTTTGGATGCAAGTCCATCAGGACATCTGTTTATTATTTTCAAAATCTTTCATAATTCTTTTGTTCACATGGTGCTAATCACTTTCATAACATGAATACCTAAATGTTTTCTTCTTTTCTTAGTGTTGAAACAGTCATTTAAGTAGTATATGATAGATCATTACTAGAAAGTACTAAAGAGGTAATTGATGTTATAGCTTCTCAGTTTTCTAAAAACTTCTCAGTGTTTTCTGGCACAGCTCTTTCTACACTAGCAGGAGAAGATTTTTAGTACAATACTATGACCTTTTCACAAATTTACTTCTATTTTTGTTATTCATGCTAAACATGAACACAAGACTGAGTCCCCTAAATAGCAGAGGGAAAGGATGCAAGAAATTTATTCTACAACCCATAGCACAGAGGTTCTTATGTTTCTTTTTGTCCTTCAAGCCTGGCTCCCTCTAGGCTATATGAAAGAAACTCCTACTAAAAACATGATTAGGTTTAAGCACCCTCATACAAACTGTTTTATATCAATACAATTCTGTTGACATAAGAGGCTCACAAGATGCACAGAGGTGCCCTACCGTCATCCAGCTCTGCACCCGTGTCTCCCTCTTCACCCGCCTGCCCTTCAGTGTCCGCAGGCTCTGTGCCCAGCTCATCCTCCACACCATTATCTTCACACGAAGCTAGAATATATTCCAAAATTTAGAGAAAAGAAAAACATCTATACAGTGAAAAGGGCATACACTGAACTGAAATCATAGTGAACATATTTATTTATTACTGTCAGAACAAGAAATTCTTAAGTGTGTCAGCTAGAAGGACATAATAGCAAATGATACTTTCAAACTCCAAGAAAGGAAGGAGTGCCTGCCCCTTGGGATCTGTAAGGCATTTGCAGTGAAAGCTGCCAGGACCTTTGTGAGAAGAAGGCTGTCTGAAAAAATTCAACAAGAAGGGGACTGAGGGGCAGCCAAACCAGAATTAAGTTCACTATTTTTCCAGTAAATCACTGTCACTTCATAGCACACGTGTATTAGGTGAAAAGTGAAATCTCAGTGTACCACAACTATTCATCTAGAAATTGAAACAGGCTTTTGAGAACGTAAGTCAGAGATGAGTAGCCTAGCACTAGGACTAGATTACATGTGGAAACTGTTAAACTCTGGGCATCTGTGGCTCTCTTTGGCATTTGACATTGGCAATTGTAGCAGTATTTAGTCACAGAAAGAGAGAAGACCAAGCTGTGAGGTCTACATTTCATTAATAACTGATATTAGAATAACTTAAAAACAAACAAAATATCCAAAAAAAAACAACCCCACCATAAAAGACCCGACAACAACTACAAAAAAAACCCACAACCCACAACACCCTGACCCATCTCTAACACTATTAATGTTTTAATGGGTTTTTTTTTCATTAAGCATTTTCATAGAATGCCATAATTTCAAACATAATTTAAATACAAAGAAGCACTTCCAGATTTTTCAAGGTAGAGTCAATGAACTACATTTTTAGATTTGTGCAGCAGGTCATTTAGCCCTGCTATATATCCACCTATTGCAAATGCATACACAGTCAGCATGTGTCATCATGCACAATGTTTGCTAACTATACACGTAGCACCCAGTCTTACAGTGATGATTCTTGGTCACTCTTTTACAGTAAACTCCTCATTGCAAGCCTCTGGACCTGCATGCATACAGTGTCACACTGTCCTTTCTAGGAGGGCTCCTGGCAGTTTCCCACAGTGGAGCTGAAGGCTGTTTCCAGCAGGAGTCTGGATGCATTCCTTCAAGCCTGGATGACAAGGAATTTTCCCTATTTTCGCCCTATGGGTGTGGATCACACTGTGTCATCTTTCTTCAAAGTCAGATAATGGACACTGATCTTTTTATTTGCCACTGAAGATGGGGCATTTGGGACCACAGATATGTTAGCACTACTAATTAAGACAATCCTGAAAATAAACCAACCCTCCCTAAAACTGAGGTCTTACAGACTCTCCTCTTTCTCAGTTTTTCACTGGTCTCAAAATGTAGCCTTCAGTGGAGGCTTTGTCTTCCTCATTCTGCCTTTTCCACAAGGTACCTTTTCTATGCTTTTCCCCTCTGTAGTATTATGACAGACAAACATATGCGTTAATTTATTTTCTGTCAACTACTGTGAAAAGGCAATTGTGCTTACATGTGATAAAGCACTGGCCTATTCCCTTACATCACAGGCTTATAAAATATAGAATCTTACAGAGTTAGAGTGTAGGAGGCTAAGTCACGCAGCAAAGGCTGGACTTCCCAGAGAAGCATATATAAATGTACTGAATGAAACAAATTGTGTCTGATTGTTGATGAAGTATGCACTAGCCTATGCTATTTGGGGAATAATAATGTCATGGGATGGTTTTATGATAACAGCAAACGTGAGTAATCTTAATCAAAACCCGTAGAAATGTAACCTGACGTTAGGAATATCTGATTCCACTATGTACATGTGTATCTTCAGATCCAGAAACCATGAGGGGACACAATACACACAGGGAGTGTTGGAGGGAGAAAAGAAAATCAGCTCTTAAATAGGTTGGTATACAAACCTCAAGCGAAGATTATGGACACACAGACAAGGAATGACTTGGAGCAAGGGGGATCCCATTTTGAGGGACACGGAGAGCTTGCAGGTGGTCGGTTATATTATACATATACTGTGCATATACGTATATGCAGTTAGGATAAGAAGCAAGAGGCCAAAAGCTGTCACACAATAACTCAGAAGCTACACACTATGGCAGCCAGAAACTGGGATCAGCACTTTGCTTGTACCAGCTAGCAGCCAGGAGCAGGCTGCACATGTGCAGCTATCTCGTACACCACTGCTCTCTTGCCAAAGCAGCAACAGAAGCAAAGTTGTATAGATGAGCTAGCTACTCTGATGTGCCAAAGCAACTTAGCTGTAGATTACTACATACCCATTACTACTTCTGTTCCACTCATTTAGGTACTTGCACTGCTTACAGAAATGTACTCGCTCAACTCTAGTCCCAGAATCATCAGTTTTTTAATAGAGCTTAGATGACTGCAAAACAAAAGCAAGCGAGCTCTACCTACCATCCTTCAGCTTTACTGAGGCTTTCCTAGATACATGGATCCCCAAGCCAAAGCCAACAGCCATCATTATTCTTAAAGATCCCACCATCAACCTTCAGCTTCTTTCTTGTCTTCTTCATCAGATAGCTAGTTTGCAGTTGCTATAGATAACTGCTACTGCTTTCAGCACCCCGTCTCTTTATCTTTTGACTGCAAGAAAGCCCCATGTTCTTTTAGTCAAGGAGCCGGAAGAATAACACCTGGTCTACTTTTCAGTTTACAGAGAGAACAAAACACTCAACTAGATTCCTCCTTTGTTAAACCAAAGATAACCTCTCTGTTTGGCCTCCCTACAGAAGGGTTACAACAAACATTGAGTTCATGCAAGAACGGGCTGCCTGAGCAAGGTGTGCATGCACACTCCCCTCCCTCCCTCCACTTCCCGTCATGCAGTAGCGATAGGGCTGTAAGTCCAGGGTTAAAGTACCAGCTCAGCTGCTGAAGGCATGGAGAAGAGACGGGCAGGGTTATTGTGCATTGGAATACATTTAACATCACCAAACTACCTCCAGGGACCGTCTCCAGCCACGCCTGTACCGCCTCATGGCGTACGGAGGGAAGGTCGGACGCTGAATTTAAAAAACAACAAATTATAAGAAGTCAAAATTAGACCATCAGTAAGCGTCTAAATCAGAAGAGTGATAAAGGGAGAAGTCTTCGCTGAGAAATACAGGAACAAAACCTATGAGATGTTAAAATTGAGATACCAGACAAATGTCAAGGGCCAAACCTTCAGGATCTGCCATGTTAGAGGAAATACACAGTGAGAAAAACCAACCCGCAGGTTGCTGTTGCTGTGCTTCACCTGAAACTTTGTACAGGAAGGAAACCCACAGCTGAGGGAACTGAGCTGCGTGGGCCTGAAGGCCAGCAGATGAGAAGGGGCACTACAGCACAGTGGTAGGGGCTTCCATGTGTCACCATGCTGCCCCAGCCTTCAGAACAAACCCCACTGCCACCGCTGCCCTGGTAAGCTCTGCAAGCACCTCATAGCTCAGCTCAGCCAGGGACAAGTTTGTCTACTGAACTCAGATGGAAAGCTTAGAGCCTTTGTGACAGCACTTGCCATAAGTGCTTTGTGACAGCCCTTGCAAAAAACAAACTGCCTGTACTGTATCAGAGTGAAACTGAAGGAGCTCATCTACTGATTGAGGTTTTCCTTGTCTGGCCTAATCTGAAAGGAGGAAAAGGAAATACTGTTCTGCTTCCCAAGAGAAGCTGGAAAGTCCACAATCAACTTGGAAGGATCAACGCAGGTTTCCCTCTATTTTGCTGACAGGTGTACAATATAGAAAAGTGGAATTATAAAATGTCAACTAACAGAAAGAATTCAAAAACTACAGTGTCACAGACCCTCAGGCAAAAGCAAAAGCAACCTCAGTCATGGTAAGCTTATGAAAATATGCTGACTTTTTTTTTTTACTTGTTCTTAGAGCTCTAGGAATACTGAATATTACAGAGAGCGGAACACTGCGCACTTCTTACTTGCAGAGAGCTGTTTTCACACCAGAAAATCCCAATGCATCCTGCAAACTGCAACTGTAAGCATAGCTGAACTGAACTGGGACTGTTTATCAAGTTGGATCATGATTTAAAAAAAAAACCAACAAAAGAAAAGCCATCTAGAAATACGAGGAAAAGATCATTATCTGGAATGGAATGTGATCAGGCAAGATGAGGTAAATCCCTAGGGATCTGTAATACAGATTAGTCATGAGCTTTTAATCTCACATTTCCTGTGAAAGACATCCCTTCTCACAACATACTTACTTCCCCTGCAATTCTGCCACAGTAGTTACAAGACTTTGATAGAAGACAGCCACTCAGTAACAGCATCGTTAGGTTTAACTAAGCTCAGCCTTCTGCACCTACAACATACTTACCTTAAGATACACTGTAATGCAGGCTAGAATAAGGGCTGCAGGGACTCACAGAAGGTGTTTCTAAAACTGCTAGACTGTTAGCATATTCCCCTTCCAAAGATTTCCTTTAAGCAACTGGCAATTCAAAAAGCTCACACCTCATTTTAAAAAACAGATACACTGTCCAGTCTTCAGCAGAGGGAGTCAACATAACTCGTGGTGAGATATGCAAACCTTTGGAACTCCACCACTCGCCAATGATAGTAGATGCAGTAAAGCAGTTTGATTAACAGCTGTGGAGGCTCAATACAGAAGCCAACTCTGTGTGATCTTTGCTGTAGCAGGTACACAATATAATCCTTTAATTTTCTCTGAAGAGGCAGAGAGTCCTTGCTGCCACAGAAAGCATTGCTACCCCTGAAGTCAGTTACCAGAACCTGATTGCCAATACTCTGTACAGTGAGGAAGAATGCTACGGAGTCAGAGCAGGCACACGAACAGGTCAGAAGTCACAACAACACAGGGCTGAGAAAGCACTCATTTTAAGTACACACTGACTTGAAAAGCAAAATGTTTAACCAAGTGTAATTTCAGAAAGCAGTTCCTTTGGATAACAGCTGTCCCTGCTGTCCACTGTTCTTGAAGGGCACAGAAGCAACAGAGTTAAACAGCTGCAGCTGAGATGGTGCAGGGCAGGGGAAAATTACCTCTGGAGGTGGAGGACTTTGAGGCTGGGACCATTTTTTCCTCCTCCTCTTTTTCACGGATGTGTGTCCAGTGCACATCTGCCAGAATCTCCAGAGGATCAACCGGATTTACAATCTGCTGCAGCCTAAGGTTTCCAGCTAGCAGATGGAGGAGGGGATGGCATACCGGGATGCGGGCAGGGTGGAATGAAAGACAGGGAGGAGGAGATGGGACAACAGTGGAAAGGAAAGGTAACACATCATAGGAAAGGAAATAAGAAAAAAGAAAAGAAGGTATTACTGGCTAAGACAGTTTTCAAGACAGAAAAAGTTCAGCATTGTGTGTGCACACAAACACTAACACAGAGCTCTTCAGACTCCCCACCAAAGCTCAATAATGCCATTCCAGAGGCAAAGAGATGCTATCAGAAATGTCATTGCAGATTATGTCTATCGCAGGCAGTTTTACTGAAATGAAAGACATTCCCTGGTTGTCCAACAGATATGTGGTATGTAAATACCAACGTAGCAGAAATTTCCAGCTCCTTCAGCCTATTCTTCATGATTATTGCCAAAGACATCTCGCTTTTAAGGGACAGTCTGTGTTGTAGCTTGAGGCAGCAAAACAAAAGGTCTTTCATGCCCTACTATTAGGTTAAATACTCCTATTTATGCTGAATGGTATCTCCTTGTGAATTAAATTACATGACGGATCTCAGAGTTTCTCACACATGTGGATGTGCGTGCATGCTTAAAATAGTACATTGTGCAATCCTGCTACTTTGCACTACAAGGCTTGTTCTAAAGGTACAATCCTTTTTCCGAAGAACACCAGTATTTTCATTATGACTTAACAGTGTCTCCACTACCTCAGAAGGGACTTCCTGTTACAGAAATGAATTTGTTTAAAGTAGATTGCATTACTCCCCAATTATCTGCCTATACACCCCTCAGATATGGATAGTCTGAGAGAGAACAATAGGCACACTACTGAAGCAGCTGATAAGCAAACTGCTTAACTGCTGCAAAACACCCGTGTTGGAAACATCTAACCTGCTACACATCATATTGACAGACCCTACCTCTGCTGCTGTCAGTTATGGGACTACAGCTCAGGTTTTATTTACCCATTAAAAAAACCCAGCTTATTCTATAGGGAACAAGGTGTTCTGAGTCTTCTGTAGTGCTCTTCAGAAGCAAATGATCCATTCTGAAAAGTAAAATGCCACTTACTTCATAAGCAGTAAGTCAATTTTTAAAACAGCTGATTACCCCTATGCAGGGCCAACACTGTTTCAGCAGTTAAAAGCCTCAACAACAATTAGGTTTTTATGTTGTGGACTAGTGTTTGAAGGAAACAAGAAACATCAGCAGCATTTAGAAGTTGCACTCATCATTTCCTGCTGTCTTGTTTTAACAAAGGTCCTCTTTCCTGGCCATGTTTTCCCCAGAAATGACAAAGTGTTTGAGACTTCCGTTTCAGAAATGACTGTGTGTGACGTTTGGCATCAAAACTGCAGAAGAAAACAGGCAGAAGGAACTGCAGGAAGGACAGAATTACTTGTTGGTTATTAAAGAGGAAAAGGGGTCGGATGCACAAACTCAAATGCAGAGCAGAATTCACGATTTAGCCAAGGATTCAGCAGTTTTAGGTCTCTGTTACCTCATCAGGGAGCTTTCTTATCAATCAGCACAAACTACAGGACATCTTGCAGGAACAGAGGTCTGGGCTTTTCTCACTGCAGACCAAAGCACTCACATGCAGGCCCCAAGGTGAGTAGAGTTAGCATTTGCATCGCCAAACAAAATTTTGTGTTAAATGGTTTAGGTTTGCCAGCAATAGCTGAGAAGTATATAGTCACTCAGCAAGGCTAGGAAAGAGCAGGTCCCACGTGATCTCTATGTTTTAAAATGGATTTCTCTGGGATTTAGACTAGCGTAACATACCTTCAGTTACCCCACAAGTCTCCAAACAGAGGCCTGTCCCACTTAGAACACAGGTCCTTTTCACCTTTTCCATAAATAAATAGCAGTTTAAACAGCACAGCCAACTGTGTAGGAGTGCTGCTTGGCTGACAGGCAAACCTGATATTTCCTTGAGATCTAAATGCTTGAGAATTTCAAGAGACACTTAGCGTAGCCCTCTCTCAAGACTGCCTGCTAAGTTCTACAGGAAGCTGGGTGCTAATTCCACTTACATATGGAAAGGTAGCTTTCCCCTCCGGGCACTTTCTAAGAAGTGAGTCTGGATGTTTAAATAGAATGAGAATCCACTCACTAATCAACTCTTTGGAATCCAGGTCTAGAGAACAGCAGCAGCTACAACAGCTTAATTTATGCTCTTCAGCCATCTTACTAATACTTCTCATTCTTAACACCAGAAAAGTTAATTTGGAAAAAAACATAACTTTTTTTTTTCTCTTTTAAGAAAAAAAAAAAAGGTCAGAAGCTAAGCTACAGTTGTTACAACCATAGGCTGCAAAATAGGCAGTTAGATGATGGGGTATGCCCTCTTACCTGCAGTAAGGCACTTGGGTTCTTCTCTTATGAATTCTGGCTCTAATGAACCACATTGAGGGACTAAGGGATTAATAAGCTATTAGGACCAAGTGCTTCAAAAAAACAAAAAACAATCATCAGAAATAAACTGCAACAAAATGCATTATGGAAAACAGCACTAGTTAGATAGGAATGTCAGGTTCATCTTATGCACATTTTATGATCAAAATATCTGAGGGATCTGTACCATTTGATTAGCTTCCCAGTAGACTCTCCCCACAAACACACATTCACAAAGAACAATAACAAAAAATGCAAGTTTGCTCACACAGTCGCAGTACTTTGGATGTGTGCCACATGTCTGACATATTGCACAAGTGTGCAGTATGTCTGGGCGTGTATGAACCAAACCTGAAGCTCCTAAATAGGTGGGGCTCATTGTTCATGCACATTACAATTGCAAATTGTCCAGGCTTTCTGGATACCCTCAAGTGCTGGGCAACTTTATTTTTTTTTTCCTAAAATCAGTAGCACTGTCAGGACTGGGGCATAGCGTTTTAATCAGGAGATGAAGGTAACAACTGCTATCAAATCGATATTTAGAAAGCTGGTAAGTAATTATGTAAAACACAGAATCTTCTCGTGTGGGACCTGCTCTTTAAAACATTCCCCCCATACTTAGGGGAAGTGGAAATAGCATATGGGTACCTTTAAATGTACCCGTGTCCTCTTCATTTGAGAGACGTTGAAGCCAGAGGCCTTGCTGCAGCTCTTTCTCCCAAGGGCAATACTCTCCCTCTACAGCAGAGGGAACCACACATCCACATATCACATCAGACACACGTGTGTACACACACAAGCAATGGAGAGAGAGAGAGAGAGAAAGAAGGAAAGAGAGAGAAAGGACAGCATCAGAAAGAAAGACTGACTGGAAATCCACGGAGACCCCTTATTCCTACTGTGTATATCAGGAAAACTGCTCAAAAAAAAAAAAAAACAAAACCATCTGTCTGAGCACACCAAGATTTCGCAGACTAAACATGCATGTCACGACATTAAAAAAGCAGTCCTGACTTTAGCAGCTCCTATGTTTAAAAAACAGGCAAACAGCCTGCTGACCCTATGAGTAAAACTGTCACTAAGACCTAAAATAACAGGACCAGTGTTGCAATAGGTAGCCAAAGTCCTTTGTGAAGAAGCACTTTGGAGTCTATTAGTCTTCACAGAAGGGAAATGCAAGTATAAAGACAAAGACAAGATCAGCGAGAAAATTGGAATGGTGGTGAAACACTGAAAATGTCTGTTCTTAGCACAAACTCTGCATTTTGATGACTGAGACAAACACACAGGGGAAGGAGTCTTTCCCTAAGATTTTCCACAGAAATCCCTCAGAGGAAAAACAAGAACCTTCTGAACTCCCTGAACTTCTCAAGGTTGTCCTTAAACAAAGGAAAACTAAAAGCAGATTCTTCTGGGATGTCCTGCTGTCAGCTAGGGCACTACCACTGAGTGAAGCACCCCGCAGCACTGAAAACACTGCCTCCACAGTGCTTCCAGTTCTTGCCATCAAGGAACAAAGAGCCCATTCAAATCCAATTCCCAATAAAAATAATAAATAACAATAAAACAATACATTGTCACAAAGATGTGAGTTGCATTTGTTGGCATGGTGCATGGACAGCATACTGTGCTGATACTCGCGCTGCAACTGCTCCGTGGGGAAGTTCTATCTGTATCCAGAATGGCCAACTCAAAGCTTCCCTTGACAAAAACTCCCTCAAAAACCAAAGTAATAAAAAAGTGAAAAGAAAGTTTTCCAAGGCTCATTCTGCAGAACAAGAAGTATGCAGCCTAGTCTTCCCTGTTGTCTAGCAGAAAAAAGGGACAAATCAATGTGTCTAACCTTCGCTAGACTCCTCTTCATATTCCTCATCGTCCTCCTCCTCCTCCTCGTCTTCTTCTCTGTCATCATACTCATGATTTTCCTCGGCCTCAATCTCTTCTTCACTCTTCCCCTTCAATAGGGCATGGATGCGCACAGCCTCTTTCCATGGCACACCTCCCAAGTCTGAAGGGGGTTGCTGAGGCAGCAGTTCATCATCCTCGTCTTCATCTTCCTCCTCCATCTCAGACTCTGAACTGCTGTAAAGGTTTAAAAAAAAAAAGATTAAAAAAAAACCACCAGTAAATGTTTCCTTGATCAGCCCTGGATCACTGACAAGTCATTTCAAAACATACAAGTCTGATACACACAATGGAAACCACAATACTAATTTTCTGCTTTCAATATTTCCTATGTATTTTCAGTGACACCATTATGTGTGGCCTATAGTAGGGTCACAAGGTGACATAAAAGTGCTCATGAAGCCATGCCCAAATACTTGTGCAGTATTAATTATTACAGTGCGTGATCATACAATGGAGAGAAGTGACCTTCCTAACACCACATTGCTTCGGATAAACTGGTTCAAGAGTGCTTGGCAGTGTCATAATGTAGAAGGTCACATCTTTTGATAATGGCAGCTTTTGCTAGTGTTCTGGATAGCTAAGATGTTTTTGGCACTTGCTGGGGACAACTATAGAAGACTTTATGAGTAGAAAGAACACACGACACAACTATTCGGTGCCAAAGGATACAGAATGCGAGAGCTAAGGAAAGCTGGAGGAAAAATGCAAAATTACTCACTTTTCTACACAGAAGTATAGGATGGTTTGGGTTGGAAGGCACTGTTAAGATCACCTCATTCCAGCCTTCCTGCTATATGAAGGGACACCTCCCACTAGACCAGGTTGCTCAAAGCCCCATCCAGCCTGGCCTCGAATGCTTCCAGGAAGGAGGCATCAACAACCTCGCTGGGCAACCAGTTCCAGTGTCTAACCACCCTCACTGTAAAGGATTTCTTCCTAATATTTAATCTAAATCTACCCTCTTCCAGTCTGGAATCATTTCCCCTCATTCTGTCACTACATGTCCTCCCAGCTTTCCTGTAGGCTCTCTTCAGGTACTGTAAGGCCTTCTCTTCTCCAGGCTGAAGAGCCCCAGTTCTCAGCCTGTCCTCAGAGGGAAGGTGCTCCAGCCCTCTGATCATCTTCATGGCCTCTGAACCCACTCCAACAACTCAATGTCTTTCTTGTTCTGGGAGCCCCAGGACTGGATGCAGTGCTCCAGGTGATGTCTCACAAGAACAGAGTAGAGGGGCAGAATCACCTCCCCTGAGGTCACACTTCCTGCTCGTCACACTTCTCTTGATGCAACCCAGGATAGAGTTGGCTTTCTGGGCTGCAAGCACACATTGTCGGCTCATGTTGAATTTTTCATCAATCGACACTCTCAAATCCTTCTCCTTAGGGCTGCTCTCAAGTCGTTCTCCACCCAACCTGTATCTGTGCTTGGGATTGGGATTGCCCTGACTCAGGTACAGGACCTTGCACTTGGCCTTGTTGAACTTCATGAGATTGGCACGGCCCACCTCTCAAGCCAGATGTCTGCTGTCCAGATCCCTCTGGACAGCATCCCTTTCCTCTAGCGTGTCAACTGCACCACTCAGCTCGGTGTCATATGCAAACTTGCTGAGGGAAACAGAATTATCATATGTATCTAATTAAGTACACAGAGTGTACACAGTGACAAGAAACCACAGGAAGCAGTATAGGGACAATTACAATGATGAGCTCATTATTCTCACAGTGAAGTCTAAAACATGCAAAACAATAAATCATTAGTGCTCTTTGGTAAGCATCTCTTTGATTCTAGCAGTTCTTCTGTATAGGCAGAAGGGACAAGGGATTGTCTATAGAACTGTCATCTATACAACACTGCATCTAGCTCATTCTTACATGCTGGACTACCAAGAGATACTGGGAAGAAAGATGGTTACACGTCATTGGAAAACAAATGTAAACCGTAACATCTTCAGAGAATGCATCCACATGGTGACAAAGTATTCTTTCTTTATTTTTCCTTCATAGAACACTGTCAGAAAATAATTGCATTTACTAGAGCAAAAGTTGGATGTTTCCCATATAAATCTTAGTAGGCCCAAACTCATCTCATTTGAAGGACAAAGCTACTATGGCAAAAATTTAGGTGAATCATTTGAGAGCAGTATTCTGCTGTTGCTGTTTCTTTATGGAACTATCACTGCAGGCAACAAACTGACACCTTTGGCAGAACCCACATAAGCAATGAAAGGGAAAACAGAAAAGTTGAAAATAGCAAAGGATGAAGTTTAAATTGCATTCAGGTCTATGAAATATACCTTCTATTGCTGTTGAAATTCTTTTCCCCACACATAAGATTTTCATTATATGAGCATTATATGTGACAAACTGACACTTTACGATAACACCACACAGCAACACCCTTTTTTTTGTATTGCAGATAAGCATTTTCAGGCTTAGAATGTTGAGTTATTCTACTACTACACAAACCTATCATATTTACATAATTCTATTCAGCTGCTAGTATGAGAAACTGGTTCTGACAGTGGAGTTAATGAAGAAAGCATTATTTTTTCATATCCTGATTGTCATGTACTTTTGTCCATGGACTCTGGAAGTTCTGCTGCATATATATAAAATCATTTTGACATTCATGAAATGCTAAAGTTATAAGCCACATTTTCACAGCATAAATTGAACACTTATTTTTAATGGGCCGTCTCTTTTTTTCACATGCTAAACACAGCTGCGTGCCATGGACTCCATGTATATTCCAGGAGAATGGAGTATATTCCAAAAGCTTTACATAGGTTTGCTCACAGAGATAAAAGTGATGTTTCCATCCTCCCTGCTCCCCGATTAGCAGCACACTTTCCTGCCCTTTAGTATGGAAATAAACCTGACAGGTGCTGCATGCTGGCTTGTTCATGAGCTGTCAGCAAGGTTTACTGCTGCTCCAACTGTTACCATGACGGCTGAGTGGGACAAGCTCTTCAACCAGCCTGCTTATCTCATGTAATATTGACGACATGCATTCTTTACCACACAGCTCACTTTACCTTCCTTGGCTTTTATTTATAAGCTGCTTTTTGTTTGACCTTTGAATACTGAGAAATGAGAATCTGAGAGAGCAGCGGGATGGCCTGGTATAATGGGCATTCCTTTCAGCTTGCTGATATTGTGCCACAAGAAATAATTCAACAGGTGACACTTTTCTTCTTTTTTTCTTTTCTTTTTTCTTTCCTATAAAGTGGTGATCAAACAGTAAACTTGGCTACTTTATGGAATTCTATAACCAGCTGAATAGCCCTTTGAAGAGATGTTCCTACACGGATGCAGTGCTGTGGAAAGGAACCTGAACCATGGAAGTGTACCTCTGCCATTCCTTTGCTGTATTCCTTTCCTCACTCCGAGGGCAGTGAGGCCCTGGCACTGCCATCTAGAGAAGATGTGGATGCCCATCCCTGGAGGCATTCAAGGCCAGGCTGGATGGGGCCCTGGGCAACCTGAGCTGGTGGGTGGCAGCCCTGCCCATGGCAGGGGGTTGGGGACTGGGTGGGCTTTGAGGTCCCTTTCAACTCAAGGCGTACTGTGATTTTGTGACACAAGCCAACACTACATGCACTGTCCTGTCACGCTCCTTTGAAAGGTCACCATAACAGAGGATTACACCACAAGTGCAGATGACATATTGCACATTTCTGCAAGCTAGAGTCAATGAGTAAAGCACGTAAAGAGTTTTCTTTTCAGGAGCTGATGGAAGATTAACTCTGTTTTGAACAAATGTCCTTAGAATACAATTTTCTGTAAAACTTCTCTGGAATGTGTATGCTCACGTGTGCATATGAGTGTAGGGAAGCTGCACAACCAACAGCACTGTCTCTGATTTGGAGTTCATATCCAGGTGAACCTTGAAGCTCAATCCCTTACTCCTTAAGACACGGAGGGAACAAAAAGTCCTGCATTTCCTCGGCCTGCTCCTAACCCTGTGGCTGTGCACAGACAATGAAGATGATCAAATCAGGGCTTTGGTTGGCTTGCTGCAGGAATCATTTTTTTTTTCTTTTGTTGCTGAAAAAGCACTGAGACTTCTTCCTTTTTTTTCCCTTCTGTCTGTGAAATACCAGGCAGTTGATACAGCTGAGCAGAGATACAACAGAGAGCTACATCATCTAGAAAATTCTCTGATGTTTGCCCATACAGCTTTATTGATGCTCTAACTAAATTGCTTGCAGTGTTTGGTTTTGAGACAAAATTTTCTCCAGGTCAAACTGAATGGGAATTTGGTAACTTTTTTCTTTCACTTCTACTGTAAGTGTGAACTTCCCTAGTAAATACTGTTTTGAGCATGCAAAATCTAGCAATTCCACCTATTATAGGCACAAATACTTAGTTCAATTCCAATCACAAGGCTAACTAAACATATGACAAAGCCTACAAGAGGAAATCAAGCTACCTAACCTAATGAAATAATGGCCTCAGTCTCCACAACTCTGCAGAATAACTCATGGAGATGACCAACAGCTTCATCCCAAAATACCAAAGTTCCACTTTTTAAACTAATTCTTCACCTTTGGAAATCTGCCATTAGCTGAACATAACCACCATGTCCTGATTTACTGGAATCATGTCAAATAATAATAGGGCTCCATACTAGTGAATTTTGGTTTAGAGCTATGAACATAACAGACCACAACCCCACAATATTACTAATGCCTAAACTGTCCCACTGATATAATTTCTAGGCCTGAATTGGGAGCTAAAGGAGGAATCAGTAAAGCAAGCAGAGTTTGCACCTGCCATTAAATTGTCTCATGATTACTTAACCAGATCAAAGTTCTTAATTGTGCAAAATATGTCAAAATAGTATCTTCCAAAGAAAGGAATATGTGAAGAAATTAATCAAGAAAGTGTTATTTAGGTTTTGGAGAAATCTGCTATACAAATAATGCAGTTCCTAGGCACTTCTATTAAGCTATATCTTCATAAGTCCAAATATACATGCTCTCCATCTAGACTGGCAGAGTTCAGGCTATTAGCAGTTGCCCACTTTTAGATGCTTCCTCTCCAAATTTACATCATAAGATAAATAAATGACAGATTTTTTCACTACCTATAAACATTTTAATGCGCACAGCTGCATTCTTCACCACACCAATTCAATTTCACATGCATAAATGCAGTAAAACATTTTTTTCTGGAGTCCCATTTCTGAAGGTTATGTATGCTTAGAATATGTTTGTAGGATCTAAGCTTGGGAAACCAGTAACAGCATTATTTATTTCAAGAAGACTGATGGGCAGAATAAAGCTAAGATAAGGGTTGTTATTGTTACAATGATTAGAAACCCCAACCAAGAGACTGAGAATTAAAAGAGTGCAAGATATTCTTCATCAAATATTCTCTCCCACTGACTCCTGCAACAACTATTTCCATCAGCTATACCTGCAAATACTTGGAATCTGATGTGTTTATACATCGCTTTAAAGAAAAAGAGAAATTTGTGAAGGTGCACAGCTATAAGCACCACTTCATACTAAGATCTCTAGGCTTTCCACCAGCACTCTGCTGGGATTACGTGTGTGCCAAGCCTGAGTTTTTTAACTAAAAATGTTGTTGAACTGTGATGTAAAATAGAAAAAAAATTAGTCCATTTTGGAACTCCCTTCCATTTGAATCCATGTTCTATTTTCTCAAAAGAATTGTTTGTCTTTAATATAAATTTCTAAACAAATGAATGAATGAATGAATAAATTCTGAAATTCCTTTCCAACTTAGGACTGAACTTCGTGTCATTGTGGTGCTGTAGTTACCTTCTAAGAATGGCAGTAAGCTATTGAGAAGAAATTACAGCATAAAATAATGATGTACACATCTGGAACATTTTCAAGAACTTTAGAAAAAGCAACCTGGTAAACAGTATGTTAAAAAAAAAAAAAACAAACCTGAGTGAGCAACAGGCAAAAATCTGCTGGGATGGATATAAAAAGCTTATGGACAAGTGAACTAACCTGCTGGGCACATCCTCCTCTGCTCCTTTGTCCAACACACTGCTCAGGTTATGTTCTGCTAGTGTCTCCTCAGGAACCTCTTCCAGTTCCTCTTCCCGTTGCAGTGACAGTCGGTAATTTTCCAGCTCAATTCGCTCAGGTGTGCCACGCAACCGCTTAGCAAGGCTGGGCTCTTCCAGCCCATTTACATTAGGACCTAAAGAATAAGTCAGTGAATGAACAATAAATGCAACAGTCAGAACTGCAATTTCTGAGGAAATTGAGCAATTGGGAGAAATAGGGTACGAGGCAGAGGGAGGTAAGTAAAGCGAGAGAATACCTTACTTCATTATCCTGTTCACCACTACTGGCAGAACCTGCTGGGAGCCAGACTGCAAAAGGGAATCTGAGTGTTTTGGGATAATAGATGCTAAAAAGAACTTAAAATGTCCTAGTTGAGAGACGTTTTAGCTGCAAAAACCTATAGCTGCAATGGAGTCTGCACAGTCTGGCCACAGGCTGAATTTGTTCTCTGAGACGAAGCAGGAATGCTACAGGGCAAGCCTGCTGCATGATGTTAAAATAGCTACCAGTCAGGCCAGGTAGAGCTACAGAAAGCAAGAAAATATGACAAATACTTGAAAGAGGGGGGGAAGGAGGGAATGAAAAGGCCCACTTGGAGTGATTTTTTAAACTTTTATAGACTTAAATCCATTCACTTTTTATTCAGAGTTTGTGATGAAATGAACCACAGTATAAAATCTAGGTGAGATGTTCACAACCCCAGCATCAAGAAAACTGAGGACTGTAAGTGTACACGAACCAGACAGCTGGAGAAAAGTACACAGAAGCTTTGTTCACTGTGACGCTCAATTAATTAAAGTCTAACCTACACTCATCCACCTTTTCTTTAAATCTTAGTATTTCAACAGGGAGACACTGTTTACCCAGCTTACCATTTACAGACTCTAATCTTTCCTAGCTTTTGTTTTGCTATGCTAAACAAACCAAGCCTTCCTCTCATGAGATAAGCTCTTCAGTGCACAGATCATCCCCCAGGTCTCCACACCTGTCCCTGTTTGGATTAATCTTTCCAAAACCTGCATGATCTGAATTGTGCACCTTCCAGATGAGGTCTTATCAGCGTAACATACAACCCTGCCAGAAACCTCTCATCTGATACACCCTGAGAACACATTTGCCTATTTATACACCACGTAATACTGGGGGTTTTATTTATTGACTGATACTCAGATCTTTCTCCTTCTCTGCTTTCAACTGATAAGCACCTTGCTGGCAGCCAGAATTGTCAACACTTACTTGGTGCATGCATGACCTGGTACTTTCTAGTGTTACATGTCTATTTTTAATATTATAGTCCACATCATTTTGTGGTTCTCAGTGTGTGACATGCCTTTCCTCCTCTGCACTGATGAGGGCTGGAAATGTTGCCTCAGCAGTGAGCTTCATTAGCAAATTTCTCCTTTTTGGTCAGTATCCTTAGCAAAAGCATTGCAAAGATCAGTCCACAGATCCACAGCCTGTAGGTGTTACCCAACTCCGTTACTTCCTTTCTGAAGAAAATTGCTGAACTCCCATTTGAGCCAGCTCCTCCACTACTTGACACTTCATATACTACTCCCTCATTTTATCCAGCTTAAATAATTATTTCCACATGGACACTTTTAGGTACTTTACTGAAGTCCAGACTTTGGATGTGCTGCATTTTCTCCCGAAGGTTAGATTATCTCATCAATAAGAGCTGTCAGGGTAGTTAGGCACAGTGTTTGGTGAATCCATGTCACATTTTATACCACTTACCTTCATGAGCTCAAAGGAATTCATTGCAGAATTAGAAGTCTTTATTTATTCATTTAAAGAAGAAGTTTTATCTACTGTTTACAGTAACTGATGCGTACTTGTTCCGATCTCCTTTTCTCCTTTTTTATTCACTTGCTCTCCTGGCTGTATCTAAGACTACATTCAATGTCAGACTCCATGTCTGCAGACCCACTTCTGCTTTACCATATCAGTAGAACAGATAATGCTCTCCTTCCTTACCTTTGCACAGCCTAACCCAGATTGAGCTTTTTCAACATTTACTTTATCCTTTCTCTTTTTGACCTCCAAGAGAGCTTTTGTTTTTTCTCTCCATTCTTTGCAGTCTCAGTTTATTCCTATTACAGCCTTTTTTCAGGGCAGTCACACCCAGGAACATGTTAGCCTTTCACACAAAAGACTACATAGGTCTTGCCATAACTAGAGGCATTAATGCCTCAGTCCTTCTCCAGAAAGATAAAATCTCATGAAGACAACTGCCAGGACAATGCTTGGTATTACTGAACCTCTCTACAACCTAGACAAGTGGTTGCTGTGCCCCTGGGCTGGAACTACTGAGCTTCTTTATGGTGGAAACCCCAGCTGTTAGCTCAGGTGAAAGGCAGGAGCATCACTGTCTATTTCCAGGGAGAAAGTGGTCTCCATCATTTCCTGCTGCTAAGCCTTATATTGTATGTTAGTGCTTTCAAAGTTTAGTGGAACTGATCTGTCTCCTCAGCTGGGATTCATGCTTCATTTCATTCTCTCTAGATGGTGATACCACCTCAGCCAAATCTATTTTTATAATCTGTGTTACATTCCCTAGCCCTGAGCTCATAGTAACAGGAGAAATGACCTGGAATACTGCTCTGCCAGTTCTGGCTGACAGGGGAAAACCAAGGGCTCTGGGTAATGGAAGAGCATCAAAGTGCAAGAAAACAACTAAAGAATTCACAGAATCAGCAAAAAATGAAAGCTCTTCTACTTGGAAGTCTTTATACACAACAGAGCACTCAACTAGGCTCAGCTGCTTCCATAGGAATACCCTTTCACAAACTCCCTTTTGCTTGTTCTCTTCCAATGCATACCCCAACATTGCTGCAACATGCACCAGCATAAAAAGTGATAAAAACAAAAAAAGGATAACTTTTTCATCATCTGACATTCTCTCACTCCTCTGATTTTCTAATTATCTTAAGCCTTTTTTCTTGTCAGCCTTTTCGAAGTTGGAAAAAAGAAAGAGAAATATTAAAAAATCATTCCATATAATTAAACTATATTAATTGAATACATATAATGAAGATGCTCATTTCACTGCTACAGTATCTGGGTTGGGGAGAAAGATTAGCAGCAATAACACTGAGGTAAAAGAGGACTGAACATCAAGCTGATATCTCTTTACATGCATTGCACTGAGGTATTTAATCTTCTGGGCATGTTATTCAATAAAAACAAAGGATCACCAACCTTCTAATCATGAAGACTGAGAACCAGTACAAATTGTACAAAGAGCATCAAACCATTTACCTCACAGTACAAAGTGTAAGTATGAGCAAATCAATCAATAAAACTGTGTTAGAAAAAAATGGAATGATGGAAAAAAAGAGGAATCTACCTACGCTCTAAGGCAAAAGAATGCACACAAACCAGGATGTCTGCTAGGCTTGAGAAGCTCTGTGCTCAAAATCCCAAAGAATTAAAAAGAAAACTCTCAGCAATTTTCAAATTCATTTCTATAACCACCTAGTTCAGATGCAGGATTGATAACATTCATTTTACTTTGTACATAAAACAGCTTTATGCCAGACAACATAATCCAGAAACTCAACTGATAACTAACTTCAGCAAGGGATTTCTAAAACCTTGGGCTATATAGACACACTTTGTGTACAAGACTTGGTTTTGTTTCTAAAAGGTGCCATAGGCCTACCTGACTAACTGCAAAGCCACTGCCATTGTTACCAGTGTTAATACGAGAAATGCTGACAATCACCTGTCTACACCACGAAGCCATCAGCTACCAAAGGGAAAGGTATTAGTTTACAAACCTAAGGGATAAAGGTAAGTAAGAGATATAGGTATACTTAACGTGGAAAGAAGATGAGCAATTTGTCCACATTATGCTACAGAGTTCATATCAATTCATTCGAAGCTACAAAAGAAAATTAAACTGGCACAAGGAAATTTGAAGCTGTCCTACCTTCACTTCTTCCAAACATATATGGTGCTGTATGCATGGAAAAAGTCTGTTCCTTACTGTGGAGTCGGCAGCCAAGACTTGTGAGGACTGCCAAAAGTATGGCTCATTCCTAAGCCATTGCAGTTCAGCACTCGACTGTCCAAGCTGAGCACAACTGATTTTTGCATCCAACGAGGGAATGATAGGACAAGAGGAAATGGCCTTAACTTGCACCAGGGGAGGTTTGGATTGGATATGAGGAGGAATTTCTTCTCAAAAAGAGTGATGGAGCATTGGAGTGGGTGGCTAAGGGAGGTGGTGGAGTCACCATGCCTGGAGATGTTTAAGGAAAAGACAGATGTTGTACTGAGGGACACGATTTAGTGGGCAATATTGGTGGTAAGTGGACATTTGGACTAGATGATCTCAGAGATCTTTTCCAATCTTAATGATTCTGTGATTCTATGATTCTAAGGTTGCTCTGAAGGAGAAAGGCTTCTTCCAAACATCACGTTGTATTCCCAGACTAATTTGTTGCCTGCCAGTGGGAAATAGCTGCAGAATACATTCATCATTCGTTATCTGACATTCCTCCTTGTCAGTGCATCAGAGCCCAGAGCCAAATGACTGAAACTGGTCACAACTGAGAGAAAAGGGGATGATGAAGCTGCATGTGCCAGAAGAACTCTGCTTTACTGGCCAGGGAGGGGAGATACCTGAAAGCCAAGAACAGCTTCTGATGCAACCAACAGATCAGCTGAAAATGCACAAACAACATCCAAAATAGGACACATTTCAAAATCCAGACCTTTATTTTGGAAGAGCAATGGGCCATGAACGTTACATAGATCATCCAAAGGGAACTGTTTTTCCTAACAGGGCAGGCCGCTTAGTTTGTTGCTGTTGTGTGAAAGCTGCCAGAGTCCTTTATTTATCTCAGCCCTGACACTGCCTGCATCCTGTACAGAAAATCGTACCATCAGAGATAACATCCCTACACCAAACTGCTCCTGGAGTCTGAATGGGTCCTTTCCTCTGACCTGATTTCAGCTTTGGAGACTATTGGAAGGTTCAAGAATCTCCAGTTGGGAGAGGATCCACCTCTGTTTTTCCTCAGTAGTTCTTTGTCCTATGAAAGCTACAGATTAATTTGTGAACAGATGAAATCTTGCCAGGGTTATTCCCTGACATAAGACAAACATACATAGGACAAAACTAGG